GAGTTTTATAGTCCATGCACATTAGATTTGGGTTAATGTCCAAGGATGTTGTGATAACCTTATGGCAGTGGCGTCTCCAGGAATTTCGATGTGTGGGTTCGGAATCGTTATTAACGAAGAAATAAAAATATATTAATAAAATATTTAATACATAAGTTCAAATTGTGTATTACAAATCGATTACACATTGAAAAATGAAGAAAAAAAAATCAACAACGAGGGACCCAATTTTGAGTTGCCAAAAGAGTTGGTTTGAATTGGGACTATGTTGAATCACTTTAGTTTGAATCGTGTTTGGGTGATTAGGAAAATAGTTCATGATCCGGTTTGGTCACACTCATATTCATTGATTGATTTTAGGTATTTTTTATTTGGGTTTTGTGTGTGTGTATATATATATATATGTATATAATCTATCAAGGAGATATCTAACATTTGATAGATTTTTTTTGTGGTTATAAAATAACACATACTTTGTATATTTTAAATTTAGGAATACCAATGTTATGTCCTAATGATATTGTCACACAAAATTAGTAGAAGTATATTCCTATGAGGAATAACACGTTCATGTGTATAGATTACATAGTACAACTATTCTATATTTTAACACAATTCACAAATGCAATCATCTGAACAATATTGTACTTAGTAAGTTGTAACATTAGACCATATTGTCGTACTTATTGGGTCCCTTGAAGCAAACTTAACCTTAATACTAATCTTCTACATCCAACTCAAATAGGAAGGCTAATTAATTAAAATATGCAAAGAGGATGGTTTCAAAAGGAAAAAAAAAATATGCAAAGAGGATGCCTTCATCAAGCTAATACAATCTATTAATATTCAATGATTATCTAGATGGGGAAGGAAAAAGCAACGTTTATTATGTGTTGAGAAACTAAAATTGATGTTTAAAAAAAAAAATGAGGTTCAAAAATCGAACTCTTAACCTCTTGCTCATTGTGTTATAAAGATGCAAGGTAAAAATTACCACTAGGCTGCACCTTTAAATCTTAACACATATTAAATAAAAACTCATTTATTTGTTTCTCATATTAAATAAAAACTCATTTTATAAAGATGCAAGGTAAAAATTACCACTAGGCTGCACCTTTAAAACTTTTTAATATTTTTCAATAATTCAGTGGGTTCAATGAACCCACTTGAACCCACGCTAGATTTGCCCATGCCTTATGGTTATGTTAATTGCAAGGTGTATTCATGATTGAACTTTGAAATTGCAAAGTGTTGATTGAGATTCGGAACTACGGTATGTTTAGGTGGTTAGATACCTTCGAAAATTGATTAGATTGAATATGTATGTTTGTGTGATTTTAATTAAATTTTTTTGAATTATGATTTATAAATTAACCTTGAGAATTCATGTTTTAATAAATATGTTTGAGGATGGATTTCTATCTTGTTTTGAATGATTTGAAATTATTTATTATGTTTAAAGGAATTTGGTTTTTAAATGTATGTTGGATTGATTTAAAGAGTTTTTTAAAAGGTTTGATTTTAAAAGCTTGTTGAATTAAATACAAAAGGTGTTTTTGAGTTATTCTATTATAAAGTTTGATTTTATTCAACAAAGGAATTTCATGAGAATTATTGAATTTTTTATTAAAGCTTTACTAGCATGATTATATTAATCCCACGATGCGGATTTGGTTGATAAGACTATAGACTTTGTATGACCTAGTCTTTCCTCAAGGATAGCCTTCTACATAAGGACACTAACTTGGGGGGGTGTGCACACTTGGCTGAGGAATTGGTTTTTAAAAAGATCAGAGGAATTGGTTTTATAAATCGTTTTTATTGAATTATTGAGTTATTGGAATTGTTTTGAGAATATTGAGAATTGGTTTTAAATCATGAGTTTTGGAATTATTGGATCAATTATTAGAACTGGTTTTTAAAGCATGTTTGTAAATAAATTGAGTTTACATTATCTTACAATTATCGTACTTAGTATATTTTGCTAATCCATATTTCCTATTTGTTTTGGTTCGCCCTGTTTACCTTAATAGTAAGCAGTGTTGACTATTTTCAGGTGGAGTCATAAATGAGCATTTGGGAGTCTTGGGATTTGTTTCACCTAATTCTAGGAATGTTGGTTTTTGTGTCTATTTTTTGAGTACTCATAACAATGGTTATTACTATTTTATAAGTATTAATAGAAGAAGAGTTGAGTTTTCCGTTGTAAGTTTGTTATTGAGTTAAGTATTTTGAGTAGCCTTGCGTAATCACGCGGCGGTAATACGTCTAATTCTATCTCTATGGTATAATTATACGTATTATACTAGTATTTCCGTAGAGGGAGATTTGGGGGTGTTACAAAGCGTTTCAAACCTTGAAGAAGAGTTTGACAACAGCACCGGTGTTAACTTAACCTGATGGGAGTGGTTCTTATGATGTGTATACTGATGCATCTAAGAACAGACTAGGTTGTGTTTTGATGCAAAATGGGAAGGTGATTGCTTATGCATCGAGACAATTAAAGTTACATGAATTTAACTACCCTACTCATGATTTAGAACTTGCAGCGATAGTGTTTGCGTTGAAAATATGGAGGCATTATTTGTATGGAGTGAAATGTAGAATATTCACTGATCATAAGAGTTTGAAGTATTTTTTCACGCAATCAACACTGAACATGAGACAACGTAGGTGGTTAGATATCTTTAATGACTATGACTTAGATATCCAATACCACGAGGGTAAAGTAGATGTAGTCGCAAATGCTTTGAGTCGTAAAGCAACTCATGGAGTGAACGCTTTGATAGTGGCAGATGAGCTTTGTAGAGAAATGAGTAAGTTGAACCTCGAGGTAATACAACATGGAGCATTGGAAGGAATGATATGCTTAATAACTTGAGTATCCAACCAACGATATTTGATGAGATCAAGGATAACCAAGTAGGGGATGTGAAAGTAGATCACATAAGGGAGAAGATCAAGCAAGGGAAGGCGATTGATTTCAAAATCCATGATGATGGAAGTATACAATTTAAGGGGAGGTGGTGTGTACCACAAAAGTGTGAGGAATTGAAGAAGAAACTGATGGAAGAAGGACACAATACACCCTATTCAATATATATCCAGGAGGAGATAAGCTTTATAAGGATTTGAAAAAGGTGTATTGGTGGCCTAGAATGAAGTTAGAAGTGGCTAAATTCGTAGCTAAATGCTTAACCTGTCATAAAGTTAAGATAGAACATAAGAGACCACAGGGAACAGTACAACCACTCGAGATCCCAAGATGGAAGTGGGATCACATCTTGATGGATTTTGTCACTAGTTTAGCAAGTCGAAAAATGGAAATGATACCATCTAGGTTGTGGTGGATAGACTTACCAAATCGGCAGTGTTTATACCAATGAAAGAGACTTGGAAAATGGAACACCTTGCGAAGGCTTACATAAAAAATGTTGTGAGACTACATGGAGTTCCTAACGATATCATTTCAAATAGGGATTCTAGATTGGAAAAGCGTGCAGGAGAACTTTGGTACAACATTGAAGATGAGTACAGCATTCCAACCTGCGACGGATGGACAATCTGAAAGAACTATCCAAACCTTGGAAGATATGTTAAGGTCGTGTGTTTTAGATTACCAAGGAGGATGGGAAGATAGCTTAGACTTGGTAGAATTCTCTTATAATAATAGTTACCATGAAAGTATTGGCATGACACCATTTAAGGCCTTGTATGGAAGGAAGTGTAGAAGTCCACTATTTTGGAGCGACATTAGTGACACAATAATTCTAGGTCCTCAATTAATAGAAGAAACCACGAAGCAAGTGAGAGAAATCCAAGCTAAGATTCAGGCAGCTCAAGACAAGCAAAAGAGTTACGCAGATTTAGAGCGTAGGGAAGAGGAATTCCAAGTTGGTGACAAAGTATTGTTTAAGGTTTCACAAATGAAAGGAGTCATGAGATTTGGAAAGAAGGGAAAATTGAGTCCAAAGTGCATTGGACCATATGAGATTTTGCAAAGGATAGGGAAAGTTGCTTATAGATTGGCATTGCCTATGGACCTTAGTAAGGTACATGATGTGTTTCATGTTTCTCAATTGAGAAGGTACATCCTAGATAAGTCGTATGTGTTACAATCTAAAGCCATAGAATTAGATCAAAGCCTAACCTATGAGAAAAGACCTGTGAAGATTCTTGATAGTAAAGTGTGTGTACACACAAGGAAGATGTAAAGATAGTACAGGTTTTATGGTTGGATCACGAAACTGAGGAAGTGACATGGGAAGCCGAGGATGAAATGAGAAAGAAGTTCCCAGAATTGTTTGAGCTTAGTTGAGTTACGGGGTCGTAACTCGTTTTCTTTGAGGGGGTTAGAATTCGGTAGAATTTCGCGCTTTTTACCTTCATTTCAAGTATTTTTTGTGCATTTTAGTAAATTTTGCACAATTTTATACAAAGTTTAGAAAGAAAGTCACAAGAAAGGTTACAAAAAGTACAGCAACTATGAGTATTAAGAGAAAATTTTATTATGTGGGCGAAAAAGTGCAATTTTAAACAAGAGTTTTACCTTTTTTGTGCTCAAGTTTTGAGGACAAAACTTCTTTTAAGTGGGGAGACTGTAATACTCCATATTTTTATAATATTTTATATATATAAACTATATATATATTATTTATAAATTAAAAATGATTCATTTCATTTTAAATAAAGGAAAAATTGACAGGAATATTATGATCTTTGCTTGGTCCGCCATAAATAAAACCACCTTTTGATAATCCCACAATAAAACGACTTTTGCACCTGATCTTCCATAAAAAGGATAAAAATAACCCGGTAACTTGTTTAATAAGTTAAGGAAGGACACGTGTCACATTACGATTGATTAGAATTTTTAAATTTTAATTTTAACATATTTCTTTTAAAAAAATGATACTAATCTATAACCCTTCTATAAAAGTTTATACTTCCAGCACTGTTCAAATAAACAGTATTTATAAGCTACTATTCAAATGAATAGTGCAATGATGCTATTGCCCCTGCCTTTAGTGAAATGATGGTATTTCCCAAAATAACCTTTTATTTTGCCCCTCCCGGTTTTCCTCTAAACCTTTCATTTTGCTTTTGAAGAATCTCATTCAATCTCTCTCCTCACTCTTCTTCTCCCATCTTTTCCACTCTGCACTCTCATCTCCTTCTCCATATTTTGGGAGCTAATAATAAAGCTAGCTGCACGAGCTGTTCTTCAAGAGCAACCAAGAGGTAATGTTTCTTTTTGGCCTTTCATTGATTGTTTTTGCTTACAATTTGATCAATCTGGTGTTCATCTTTGTTTTCGGACATGAGAATTTTTCATTTCTGGTTTTTAATTTCTCTGTTTTTTGTATGTATGATTTATTTTTATAGAATTTTTAACATCTCAATTTGATTTTGAATTATTTTCTATAAGTCTAAATCTAAAAAAATTGATTTATTTTCTTTTAATTTCTGTGTTTTCCCTCCTCAAATTTCACACTCAATTCTCGTAATTTAATCTCAACGGTTCAACGCTCCCCCTCTTTTCAATTCATCTTCCATCTTCTTCCCATTGAATCAATCGAAACAGGGGAGGATAGAGAAAATCAAACTATGTCAAAATCATCCGAAGTATTCATCGGATCAATTGATCAAGGAACAACAAGCACTCGATTCATCATCTATGATGGATCTACAACAGCAATTGGATCTCATCAGATTAAATTCACCCAGTTTTAATTTTGGTTGAGATGTTATTCTTGTTTTGGATTAATTTAATTATTGTGATTTTGTAGTGATATGTTGCGATTTTAATTCTGGAATAAGTATTATTAATTTTCTTAGTTTAATCTGGCCCAATTAAAGTAAGCTTTATTAATTGACATTTTTTTTGGGTTTAGCTTAGTGGGTTGTGTATAAGCTGTTGGAATCAAGAAGAGTTCGGGTGTGTTTATGTAAGTCTTTGTGTGTTCTTATTGTAGATTAGTTAGTTAATTTGTTTTGAACTTGGTTTAGCAATTACAAAAATAGCTAATTAAGTGTGTGTGCAGTGTTATGTAAGTAGTTGTGTGTTGCTATTGTAATTCAGTTAGGTAATTTGAAGGGATAATAGTTAGTTTATTTGATCTGAAATTTGTGTGGTGCTATTGTAACTTAGTTAATTTAAACTGGAATTTGTTAGTTTATTTGATCTGAAATTGGTTTAGCACCTTTTACAAAAGTTCGATTTGATGTGAAATTGGCTTAGCAACTATAAAAATTGTCTGTGAAGGTAATTCAGATTATCTTTATTGGGGAATTTGTCAAATAGTTATGTTGCTTAATGTAATTGACAATTTGTGAGGCTGCTATTAAGGTTTCGTTGGTTTTTTGGATCTAAATAATTTAGGTAACATATAATTCCAATTTTAATTAAATCAAATTGAATAATGATGATTAGTAACTTGATGTAGGCATCACTCTTCTTTTTTTGGCTCAAAATATCAGCAATTCTTAGACTGTACGTTACTTTTGAATAGGCTGTATAGAGTAGGGTATGGGTTATCAGGTAGAGTTGGTGTATATAGATTGTTTTCATATCTATTATACTGTTTGATATACATACTGTAATTAAAAAAAAAGGTACAAAAAGGCTGTACTTGTACTTTCGCTTACTTTTGTTGTATTGTTTGTAGAGCTGTGACTTGGGTCTGTTGTACTTTCATTAGTCTTGCTTTTACTTTATATTTATTTTTTTGGTAGAATATATAGATTATATATATACAATTGAGTAAGCCCAATTAGAGTATAAAAATGGGAAGTCTTGACATATATACGTGTAGAGAGAGAACAAATGGATTGTTAATTTAGTGAGGTATTCAGCCTGTTGATGAACTTTTGCGTAAAGTTAGTTGTATGTTGCATTTCTTCATGTGTTTTTTAGGGTTTTGGGTAGTTAATTTGGTGTTCTTATTAAATTTGCTCTTGAAATTGAAGGTGTTTACAAGTTGGTTTGATTTGGAGTAAGGAGCTGCTTCAGTTGATATTCAAGTGGTTGTTTTGTGTTTGCTTTAGATTGTGCTATTACAGTGAGTAGTTCCTGTTGTTATATGCTTTGTGCTAATGAACTTTGGTTATTGTCTGCTTATAGACAAGGTCAATTATTGATATCAGATGTGTATGCTGTTTATTTTCGGCTAATGATAGTTGATATGAGCTATTATGTTGTATATATGTTGATTCAAGATAATATTAATTCACGTAGTTTAAGTGTGATGCCTTTTGGGTTTACCTCTTTTGAGGGGGAACATGTCGGTTTGCTAGACTTGGTGAAGGTGGGAGTTTGCTAGACTTGCTAAGATAAATTATGGTACTGAATGGTGAAGAATTTTCTCACAAAGAAACTCTGTCCGCATGGCTTTTGTTATAGAATTTTCAATATTTTCCTTGTATTTCTTGCTGCTACTACTTTCTTGTGCATTTATTTTGTCACGTGTATGTGACCACTATAATAGAGGAATTGGTGTTCAGAGAGAGAGAAAAAAAAAAAAAAAAAAAAAAAACACACACACCTTATGGCTGGTTTCCATCAGAATTTTGAGATACTTGATCAAAAACAGCACACCTAGTGATTAGGGGATTTTGCTCCCACCAATCGGAATGCGCCACGTGGGCCAATCAGGTCCTGCCGAGTGTCCCCCAGTTGGAACTGTCAGGGCTTGCCACGTGGCACGCGCTTATTCGTCCACCTTGGACCTATTATGTCATGACATATGGCATACTCCATGCCTAATGGAGAAACCGGCCACCCAGGCCCAACTTCCGAGGGAAGCCCAATCAGCCCTAGGTTAACCTAAACCTAGGATGGGCACGTTTCCCAAGGTTATAAATACCTCCCTTAATCCTCATTAAGGGAGAGGACGAAAAAACACATTAATTACACATAGTAATAACCGGCTGATCTCGCTAACAAAGCAGATTACCTACATTAAACACTCTCACCTAGAGAGACCCAATCACTTTAATTTCCGCATTAATTACTCCTTAATCAAGTACTAACTTGACCGTTGGAGGCGGAGCTCCCACCACCAGGAGTCTCCGTTATTTTGCAGGTACAGGCGTCCGGTTCCAGTCTCGGAATTGTAACTCTCCCGCAGGACATCAGAAAACCCCGAAACACCTAGCTTATCAGACCAAGGCTAGATTCGATGCACAAGAAAAAGAAAAAGAATACATAGTGATGATGAGTTCCAGTGGTGATGAGGGTGAATCAAAGTGCTCAAATCAATTGATATCAAGCTCAATGATTTAACAATGCACAATGCACTTTTAATTTTTTTCCCCTCTCTCGTCTTTTGATTGCCTAAACACAAGAACATGAACCTTGGAACCTGAAGAAAATAGGATCAGAAAGCTTTTGAAGAGATTAAGGTGAATGATGAAAGAGCAAGAGGGTTAGCATACCCTTAGGCTTTCTATACTTTTTCTCTTGCTCTTTGCTCATTTATTGTTATCCTGTAATTTTTCATTGTTGTTCTATCTACTAAAGTTGTAATTTGAATAGGATAGACTTGCTCAATAATATTAGGGTCATGGGAAGTGATCCTCCAGAGTTTTAGACTTTTAGTCTGTCAACTTTAAATCTTGTAAAATTGTTATAAAAAAAATTGTAATTTGTTGGTTACAATTTGCCTGTTCTAATATGTCTAATGTTGTTAATGCTCATAGCAACAATTGAATTACTAAACTCTAATGATGCCTAATTATTACGAAGTATGTAACAATGTTACTCTGTAGTTGAAAAATACTACTTGAAATTTGTAGATTAGTGAGTCGTGGGATTAAAAATCGTTTTGTCATTCATTCAATAAATACACGTCTACATTAGTACCTTTTGAAATATATATATATAGGTAGCCAACTAGATAAGAAATTAGGAATTCATCTTACTCAACTGGTTTAAGCCCTAATTGATCTTTTGTAAACACAAGACTAACTTATTTATGTTATAATGAATTAGATAGCAGCTCTTGAAAATAATTTTGCGACAGATATTTCTTATAGATACTAGAAACATATTAATTAACCTTTAATAAACATGGATGGTAAAATGTCAAAAAAAAAAAAATCACTCAAGAAACAATACCGATAATAAAATTAGTCAAAAAAAATACATTGATAACTTGGGGAACTGCAAATCTTGATAGATGATAAAACGTCAAAAAAATCACTTCAGAAACTAACACCGATAACAAAATCAATCGAGAAAATACATTGATAACTTAGGGAACCGGCGCGCATCACAACTAAGTTATAAAATAAAATAAAAAACTAAAAAAAAAAACCTCCCTCTTTCCCGTTCAGCACATTTCTACGGCCACCCAAAGCCCCACCTGCTCAAACATTTCTCCGGCCACCCAAAGCCACCTCACCTCACAACAATCAACCAACTCCACCTCACGCCACCAAAACTGCCCAGCCACACCTACCTCACAGAATCACAGCCCCACCTTCTCTCAACACTGCACAACTCCAACCTCCACATTTCCATCACCATGCCACAGCCGCGCAAAACCGCCCACCGCAAGCAACCCGCAACCCCTGTTCTTTCGTGCCCACCATCACCGAGCTAATCTCACCCATCGTTCCACCTTCACCAACAACAATCGCACACAATCAGCAGCAGTGAAAACTCCGGCCACTACCAAACCGCACCAACGGAGCAGCTCACGGCAATTTAGGCCCCAAAAACAGAGCAAAAGTCATAATATCCTGTCAATTTTTCCTTAAATAAATAAATTATTTAATTATAAAATAGGTGTATATAAAATAATATGAGTTATTAATTAGGGCGATTAAGTATTTCAAATTGAATCAACATCATTCAAAGTATTCGACTAACTTGTTGGGAATAAAAGAGTTTTTAAGGGCCCAACGAGTTAGCCCTAATGAAGAATTTAAGGAAAAATAGGATTAGTAATGGTAATTGTGTAAATAAATGTTTTTGTTTTTAAAAGGGATACAAATACCCCAAAAACTCAACGATTTCACATTTAAAAATCAATTGTCATATTGCATAAAAACTCGAGCTTTTTCACTTATTTTTCTCTCTCTTCTTTTTCCTCTTTTTCTCCTCCTTTTCCACGCTTCTCTCTCCTCCTCTCCACGCGCCACCGGCGCCACCACCAACCACTAGCGCACCACCGCGCAGCTAGCAGCAGCACCATGGCGCACCACCGGCGGCCGGCCAACGTTCTCTTTTCTCCTTCAATTTTGGTATAGAAAAAAAATAAATAAATAAAGAAACACTTTTCTCCAATTTTAATTTTAAAGCATGATTTTAATTATATTTTGATGTTGTTTTGGATAGTTGATGCTGTTAATTATTCTTATAATTTTCAGATTTTAATTTGATAAAAAACCCCAATTTACAATCCTTAGAATTTGGGAATTTAATGTTTATGAGTAGGGTTTGATCCTAGGTTATTGTGGTTGTTAAATTAATGATTAGAACATGTTTTCAATGAGTTTTAAGTCCTCAATTAATGCTGAAATTTAATTATACACACTACTTTTTAATTATTATGTTAGGGTTTGATTACCCATAAAGGAAAAAGATTTTTAATGATTTAAATTTGATTTTCTAGTATATTAGTGATATTTTATATTAAATAAGTATGTTGGATTTTATTTAAGTCATGAAAACTAAGTCTTTTTGAAAAAGCTTTGAGTACCCACTTAATAAAAGGTTTTAAGGCTTATAAACCATTAAATTGGGTGAATTAGTGATATTTGATTTTCTAGTATATTAGTGATATTTTGTATTAAATAAGTATGTTGGATTTTATTTAAGTCATGAAAACTAAGTCTTTTTGAAAAAGCTTTGAGTACCCACTTAATAAAAGATTTTAAGGCTTATAAACCATTAAATTGGGTGAATTAGTGAGGTTTAAAGTATATAATAGTTGTTGAAAATTTGCGAGAATAGTGGATTAATTATGGTTATGGATTTTTATATGTAGAAAAAGTTCGAGTTAGGTGATTTTTAGCAAGTGTGGTCGAGTTTAGGCATTATTCAAGGTATGTATGCGCATAGAAATATTTGTGTATGCGTAGCATCATGCTAGGAATGTAAAGTATGTTTTAAGTGATGAATTAGTTATTTGAGGCATGATACAAGTTGAATATGTATGAATCATGGAAGTATGTTTTATTTTTAAGTATCAAGGAAGCATGAATTTAATAAGCGAGACTTATGTGTGTTTAAAAGAGCTAAGATTATAATTATTGAGCATGATTCATGATTTATTTCTCACCCATATATTATTAGAGATGAGTCAAGAAGTTAGTTTATTTATTTACTCACTCATATAAGTTGAGATTGAGTCAAGAAAGTTTGCTAGTGCATTTTATGCACCAAGGTAGTAATAGTGCAATTTTGAGCACAAAACTAGGCAAGGAAACTCAATTAAATATATAGTATGTGCTCACTAATTAATTCAAGAGTGAAGTGGAAGTATGTATTGTTCATTGCTATGTTTATTCTTGATTGATTGGTTGGAGTCATCACAAGTTAGATTGGTAAATCACGTAAAGTGTAAGAGAATATGCATTAAAACTCTTGGAACATATATACCTTGAGTATGAATATATGGGGGAGTTATGGGGTTTTATATTTAACCATAACTTCTACAGGGGTATAGGATGCTGTACTTTCTTTTATTGTTAATGCGTGGAATTCTGTCTCAAGTGTGACATAGTAAGTGCCAATTGGTGTAGCTCCCTAATTGGAAGCTCAATATTTTAAAAGAGCTATTTAAGGAAGAAAACCCATTTGATGCGTAATCCAAAGCTATTTATTAATAATTAATATTACTAGTTATGAGTCAAAGGTAAGTTGACTTGTGATTGTATGGCGGACATGTTTTAGTTATTACTGCTAGGATAATCATGTTAGTGTGCTAGTTTTATAGGTGTATATGTACTCGGCTTTTGCTGATTCGTACTTTTGTGTTTGTGTTTTTCTTACCTTTGGATTGACCCTACTATGACCTATTTATATGGTGAGTACAGGGGTTAAAATAAAGAGAAAATGTCAGGTACTCGAAGCATGAAGGGCATGAAAAGAATGAGTGTAGAGAGTTATCTATTATGCTTTCTTAGTTCTATATGTTGAATTGTTGATTTATTATTTATGGACTAACATTGTTATGTTTTATTTTAAATTGGTTTTGAAGGGCCATGTTTATATTGGTTCCAACTTGTGAATGTTTTAATTTACTTACGTTTTTGAGGTTGTGAGCTCAAGTTATTTTTAAAAATTGGTTTTAATTTAGACTTTTGTTGTGTGACTTTGAAATAGCCTAATCCTTTATCACGGTGGCGGTAATATTTTGGATATTTCCTAAATGAGATTTATTTAGAGTGAAAAGAGATTTTTAAAGAAGGAAATTTTCAGGGTATTACATAATTATTCAGTGAAGTCAAGTGATCGAAATGTCTAGATGGAGACCGCTTTCGATCAGTGAGAATAATATTATTAGTCTCACACCTTGCAGTTGGA